ACAAGCCTTTGCTCCAAATATAATCATCATAACAGTGTGCCACTGTATTTTAGAGAGAGGCTTTAAGGACTGCAGTTTGAGTTACTGGAACCTTGATGTGGTGCAATTTGGTTGCAAGCTTAATGAACTTATGATTTGAAATGATTTCGTGATACTGGTTATTGCAACTTGTGAATTGAATGCTTTTCAGATGATATGCATTCATATTCTCATGTGCTTTAAATCTGACATTGACGTAATTATCTGAATCATCTAATAAAAATTCTCCTCCAAATCATATAATTTTTAATCATTTGTTTGAAAACAAAACATTCAGTTTTCATACGTTTGCAGATCAATGTCTCAATGATATTGTTGGAAGTGCATATTATGTTTCACCAAAAGTACTGCATAGACCTTACAGTGTTGAAGCTGATATATGGAGTATTGGAGTCATAACTTATATATTATTGTGGAAGCAGACCTTTCTGGGCTTAAACCGAATCAGGAATTTTCTGTTCTGTGCTCAGAGCTGGTCCTAACTTTGACGATTCTCCATGGCCCTCTGTATCACCAGAAGCCAAAGATTTTGTGAAAAGGCTTCCGAACAAGGATTACAGGAAAAGAATGACTGCAGCCCAAGCATTAAGTAAGTCATATTTTGAAGTGCTATGTGAATATTATGATATGACCTCACATATAACCAACTTTATAGAATTTATGCTCTCTCCCACTCTTTCTCATGCTAAAAAATATTTTCTACTTTGGTTTGAAGTTACTAACAAAATTCTGTATGATTTTGAAAACAAATAAACTCCTCTATATTGTCATGGTTAAGAAATGAAAATCGTGTTGTGCCTTTGGATATTTTGATCTAGAAGTTAGTGAAGTTATATATGCATGCCACCCTTTTCAAATGAGCAGCACATAAAGTAGTTTCCTGGTTCCTGTCATTAATAAGAAGACAAATTATAGGTAACTCTTTCCCCTTTCCTAGAGAGAGAGCTGGGAAGCTATAATTGTATCCGAAAAGAAAAAAGTTCGAATCAACAAGAAGGCTTCTGCTTGTTTTATAGGCAGGCATCCCTATTTTTGGCATGACCAACTGACATGTGGCACAAGTTTCTCCTGCCTATTTGGGCAAGGGAGCCCTTCCTTTATAATATGGTTCCACAAGGTTTCCTCTATAACATAGTTTCTGATATTTTATCACTGCTTTGTTTTGATGGTTGCAGACTTGCAGTCACTTTTGAAAGCTTTACCAGATGATGCACTTGCGAATCTTAGGGCACAGTTTAGGCTTGTAGAACCAAAAGATGGACGTGTATCCCTCGGTAATTTTAAAGCAGTTAGTTTGTGGTTTTATTAGTTTCTTACTTCCTTCCAACTCACAGGCTTTTGAGACCTCTTTTCTGAGGAGAGGTGTGGCCACTACCAGGCTTGCCTTAGCTGCAGACTACTTTGAAATTTTTTGCTATCTATTTGATGAGTCTATTGTTAGCTTGTTTTATTATTTATCATCTACTATTTGCAGTAACTTTTTCCGTGACCATTATTATGAAAAACTGCAGGCTCTAATGTGGAATATAACTAATGCCATGCAGGAGTCAAGAGTTCTTGACATTATTAATGTGGTGAGATATCTTGTTTTATGTTCCGGTGGCACATAAATTATTTGTTGTGGAGTGAATAGCAGAGCTCACGTTAAAAGAGTTTAGAATGGTTCTAGCTATGCTCGTTTTTCATCATTCAACATTATATTGTGACTATCATATGCAAGATTTGCATGACCTGAGAATAATAGGATTTTGATTTTTATACGTAATTAGCATATTTCCTAGATGATATTGATTCCTAGAACTTATTTTTACATATGATTTCTCATGGGCTTTGGGGCTTTTTTTTTTTTTTTGAATTTTCTCATGTTAACGCTAACAATACCAAATTTTATTTCAAGATGGAACCACTCTATTATAAGAAGATCAATTTCGAAAGTTCTGCACTGCTTCAATCAGTACACATCAGCTTGAGGCATTTGTAGAATGGGAGAGCATTGCAAGCACAGCCTTTGAGTATTTTGAACAAGAAGGAAACAAGATCATTCCAGTGGCGGAATTGGCAATGGTATGTGAATCTGTTTTCCTAGAAATGGAGTATTCCTTTTGGTCAAGTTCAATTCTGACCTCCTTTAACTTGAATTTTATTGTTATTTTTCTTGCTGGAATTAAATGTGGGCCCTTCATCTCATTCTTTGCTTAATGATTTGATAAGAACTCCAGATGGAAACTTGAGCTTCTTTGGGTATATGAAATTTTACAATGTGTGACAATTCATGCTTCTAATACAAGATGTCCATAGCATATAAGACCAAGGACATAGGATTTTTTTAAGTGAATTTAACGTAAAAAAATATTTTGTATTCTTTTATTCTGAATGAGATTAAAGGTGTTATAGGTATGTACATGAATGTCTAGGCAGAAAATCATGCAGACTCGAGTCTAAACAATTTGGACCACATACTGTTTTGATGAATTTGATATCAAAGGGTCTTCCAGCTCCTCTATGCAAGTCAAATTATTTTGCAATATTTTATTCCTAGGAAGTAGGAATCAGTGCAAAATATTTTTGTATGTTTTTGCAGTGAATAATACTATGACTTTAGGGAAAGAGGAGAAAAGAAGAAAGAAAAGAAAATAGATAAGTTAAGCCTATCCTTTTTTTAGTATTTAAACTCGTCAGAATTTAAATTTTAATCAGCAAAATTAAAAGTTATTTTTTATCAGCTGATGACGTTGAGGTTGGCAACTTACATTTTTATTGTCATGAAATTCAGCTTCTTCAGTTAAGCTTAATCCTTTTTAAGCCAATAATATAATCATTAATATCCTTGTTTTTTTCTCAAGTGGGAAAAAACCAAAGAACCTTAAAAGCATTTGGCTTCAAAAGTCAAATTGGAGAGCCAATTAGGTTGGAGTGGATAAGTATATTGGACTATTGGGTTTTCGTCTTAAGAACACAAAGAAAGAAGTTGTTTGGAATGCCAAATAAATGAAAGAGTCAACACAAGAAAGCCTCAAAAAATCAGCTGGAAACCCCTTTGTTTTCACGCATTCAGGGCTTAAATGATTGAGCTATTCATCCTTTTCTTATGAAAGAGAATTTGCGTTCTAACCTCTTTCATTTTTTTTTCAGCTTACAAATTGGATTGAGCTTGAGAGCTGCCTTTCTCTATCAGATTTTTTTTACTTTTGGTGGGGTTTGAAGTCAAACGCAAGACAACCAATATAAAGGGAGTTGATGAATTAAAATTTTGCTGTGTCAAAGGAGACGAGAGAGATCTTTGGCCATACAATACAACGTGCCAACATGTTTTAATACATAGTTAAGTGTTCAATTTGGCGAGTGGAACTTAATAAATTTTCCACCTGATCAAAAGCCTATCAACTACGTCACCCAAAAGGGATAGGATAGTAAGAAAATAAGGAAATCATCTGGGAATATATCCTTTAGGATACCTCCACAATGTGCCTTTGCGGGCTGATTCAAGAATTTTACCCACTTGGGTAGAGAGTCAACCAGTTATTTCCAGCCCAGAATTACCTATTCCTCTTGACATTTAAAACAGAGAAAATAAATAAATATGGAATCAGAACTTTCGCGTGTTGACATAACCAAATTAATACGACATTTGGACCGGCAAGTTTATACTATGTCTAGAAATGACGCATAGATGATTTTATGCTTTAAATGGGACTACCTGCAAAAACCGTTTAACTAAAATAAATGCTTGCCTTGGAATGTGGCGAGCACATCCTCTAACGGCAGGCACAAAAACTTCAGAAAAATGCCTACCCCCGAAACCTGAAGCTTTGAAATTTCTGGGGCAAGTAATGCCCACCATATTGCATAATCAAAACTTTATCCACAAAGGGGTGAGGCAAAGGGTTGTAATCGAGTTGAATTGAATCAATATACTGTAATACTCGAATTTGAACTTGATTCGAAAATTAAAATTCGAAATTTAGCTTGAGATTGATCAAGTTTTATTTATGTAGCTCAAATTTAATTTCAGATAAAATTCGAACTAAATTTGAACTCGTTCGATAAAATTCATTACTTAATAAAAATGTATTTTTCATAGTTTACAGCACACTTTCTTCTTTTTAAAGTTTTTAAACTTAATCCCTGTGCCTGCAAAGCAAATAAGCTTTGACAATTAACTCTATTATGACAAATAATTTTAGTGAATTTTTGAAGGTTGGGGCACACATCAAATTTGTTTAAAAAAATAAGCAACTTTGCATCTAAAATTAACACAAATCCAAGTCTTTTCTAGCTAATTAAAATCGAAAAACAGTATATTTGTAGGCAGAAAAAACAATATCTAGAAAGAGTGAAAAATATGACGATGTGACCTTAAAGAGTGGCAGTTGAAGCATGAATAAACCAATGGATCGAACATAACCAGCAAAACAAATCTACTGAAGGAGCAAAAGGGCGGTAAATGGAACAAATCAAATAAAAACACGACACCAAAATTAGCAAAGAATTTTTTTTAGTTTGAATTCGACCATAAACTAATGTTGATCGAAGGTAGGGGTAGACATGTGGATACAACTTGTTAAATTTGCATATAGCTACGTTGAAATGAGGCATGAAGGAAGAGTGCTAGAAAGAAAAAGGGTAGCTACTAGGATGAGACGAGAAAAGAGATAAGAGAGGCACCGGTGAAGGAGAGTGAAAAACAAAAGAAGCAAATGAGTTTAGGGTTATATATATATATATATATATATATATATATATATGTAATGGTAAATTTATAAATTTTACTTAAAATAATAAAAATATATATTTAATTAAATTTACGAGTTATTCAAAAATAAATATTTAAATATTTAAATTCAAATAAACTGATAAATTAAATTATTTAAATTTAAATTTAATTCAATAATAATTAAATCTACTTCAAATTTTATTCGAATTTGAATAATTTACGCAAAAAAAACAAAGTTCAAAGATGCTGGTACGTCCCACGATTAACCAAGCCTCCAATAGCCGACATCCGCACCCATCTTACTCTGACGATGAGTAGTTAAAACATATTCATCAGCTGAAAATTTTTGTTTCAGTGCTGTTGAAGAAACCATTAGCAAATGATCAAATCAGGATTCGGGAAAAAAAATTTAAACAATATTTGGTTGTATTAATAAGTATGGGCCACCCACAAGAAAGAAACTCTAGCGGCCCCAACGAGAACCCTCCGTCCAATTCCAAGTTCACATCGTGTCGTGTCTTAAACGATTGCAACTTTAAATTGTTATCAATTTTTACTCCCACCAAAACGTTCCCATTCCATGCTTTTAATGTGTTCACATTAACAAGAAAGTTGGAAAAATCAGAAAGAAAAATGAAAAGAAGAGCAAAACCAAATGAAATTAATTATGTGAGAAGAATCTTGTCATTCATCTTTTTTCTTTTGTCGTCATCATCTACAAGGCAAGATCCCTGCAATGCTAGCTAGGAAGGACAAGAAAAAAAAATCCCAGAGAAAAGCAAAAAGTAGAAAACGTAAAACAAATTTACATGACTTTCAGAATTGATTCATTCAAACCCTAAAACACCAGATATGGTGGTGATGGTGATTGTGTTGCTCTTTATCGATCATGCCTTGAACATTGCGAAACTCATCGACGTGGCAAGGGATGGTGATGGGGCCTTTCTGATCAAATCCATACTCTTCCTCAGCCTCCTTCAAGAGGTGCATAAAGAGCGGGTGGTTGATATAGATCACTGGGATTACAAACCTTTGTAGCTCTTCCCCTTGACCTACCAGGATTGCCAGAAACCCCTTTGGAATATCTTTCAGGTCCTTCTTTTCGTGGTGGTGAAAGGCGTGAAGGTACGGTATATGAAGATGGAAATTAACATGGTGTTTGTCTCCACTTTCCATTTTTCTTCAGCAAACCCCAAACGCAAGAAGAAACAAGAAAACCAGAATCAAATACAAAGGTTATAAGAAAACGAGAGAGAAAGGCCAAGGATCAGATGCAGAAATAGCAAGCTTGAAAAGGGTTAAAGAAGAGTCTGTTAAAGACCTTGGAACGTTGCTCATGATAAATGAGAATCAACTATAAAATCCACATATGAACAAGAAAGGAGAAGTGGGAGATTGTGGAGAACTAGATTTGGGTATTTATACCAAAAAATAAAAAGGATGGGTCAGAGGAGAAAGAAAGGGGGAGTTACTGTTCTAGATATTGCCTAGGAAAGGGAGCGGCTGAACTGGTCGTGTAGCTAGGCGTATTTGCCGTCTATCAGATGGATATAGCTAGCTCGTTTGTAATTTTTTTTTATTATTTTGATTTTACAGCTGGGAGAAATTTTACAAGTCCAATGGTGTTGCTATTTCCAGGAAACAAATTTTGGTATGGTGAATTGGGAATAGGCTCTGGTTGAGTCATGTATTGTTTCATTCCATACGGCAATATTTCCAATTTGGAAGGCAACCTCCCCCGTATAAATCATCTTTAAACATTGAAACCATTAAATAAACGTGATTCCCCTATCTACATCAATTAATCCCTTCTTATTTCTTTCCCAATTAAAATCACATGGTATACATTAATTCTCCAAATCGGTTAAAAATTATATTTCTTTTATCCTATTTTTTATTATTATTTTTGAAATATCTCAAAATTATTTTTTTTACATTTAAATTTTTTATATTTTTATTTTTTCATATTAAAAATTATAAAACTTTAATTTTTTTAAAAAAATTAATTTTAATATTAAATACATTAGGACTAAATTTTTTTTAAAATTTCATGAAAATCGATTATGTTCAAATAATTTGAATCGGAATGAGTAGTAAGTAATAAAAATTTATTTATACACCTAATATATTTTTAATAAAAAATTATAAATATTAAAAATTTATTAAAATGTTATTTTAAAAAAAAATTATATGAATTTATTTATTTAAAAATTGAATTTATGATATTAATTTATTTGATTGGTAATTAGCGTGATCTCATTTTTATGGGAAAAATATCGTTATCTTATTGATTGACTAAGAATAAATCAAAATGACTAAACATAAACGCAAGGATTAGCTAATAAACGGGCATGTGGCTTGGATCGGTGTATGACCCAATCATTTCGTAAAGTTTGAAAAGGAAACTAAAATGGAAAAAAAAACTTATAAATACTGTCCATAAAATTTTCCAAGCTGCTCATAGCAATTATTGTGGCAAAAGCGAGGGCAAGGCTGCTGACTGGGAAAGACAAGTGGATAACGAGTGGCTAACGCTTCGCCACATTGGCAACACCACGTTCCGTGGGACTGATAATAAATCTGACCGACACTCGGGGCACCTCCCACACGTCAGCGCTCCGTTTCAACCAATCAATACCCGTCACGTCAGCTTAAAAGAATTTTATCCCAACAGAAATAATTTCATCGTGCAAATCTCTGCGCCCAACAAAAGCCAAACGCGGTGGATGAGAGAGTCGAATGTCAAATTTGCCCATTGATGATGCGAAAGGGCCCTCATCTCGTGCCAGATTTTATTGCTATTTTGTCATAAAATAAAAAAAGAAAGAAAATAAAAGCGTGAAAGTAATGTAAAATCTATTTTTTTTTGGGGTTCAAACGACCGTATAAAATTTCATGTCGGTCCATCCAAAGGATTACGTTGATCAAAGTGCTTGCTTTGATCAGTGGAGAGCTTTAAACGGCAAGACCCAATAAGAAAAGGGAATTAAGTTAGACGATTAGTTCAAGATAATTAGCGTTAAATTAGTACTAAAAGAAGGTTAGATGGCCCACTAAAATGGGGAAAATTAAGTCAAATGCAAATATGGTTGTTGCCAAGCAACCGTAGAAATGTTGAAAGAGTATTCCTAACTACTATTAGTGGACCACATTTTATCTGTTGCGCTGGTATTGCTTGCGTGTTTTTTTTAATTCCTTTTCAGTTTTCTCTTTTTCCCTTCAAGTTTTCACATAAGAAAGTACCCTTTGGGAATTTCTTAAGTGCCAACCAAAGTTAGTGAGTGATCATATCAAATATTTATAATAAAGAAATTTCCACTTTTTCAAGGGCTGCTTTCTTCTTCATGTTGTATGTGTTACGTCATCTGTTTAGCATTTTAATTTTTACATGCAGAAACTTGTAACAATCCAATTAATTGCATGATTCACGTTGTTCATAATAAGAAAAAAAATTATTTAAGCCCTTGAACCTAATTTTTTAATTAATGGAAATGGACCACCCTGTCTTGTGCGATTGGGCTGAAATTCAAGATGCAGCATGGTTCTTACATCATCTCGCTTTCGTCACGAACGAATATATATTTTCCTTTAGGTGTATTAATTGTTTTTTATTTACTATTGTCAATAATTAAATCATGATTATTAAAATTTTATTAATAAATTATATGATTGTTGACAGTGCATTAAATGTTATAAAATCTGAATTCAAATTGCTTATTTATATCATCATATTTTTAGGTATATCATATCATTAAATGAGAGTCAATATTTCTTCAAGTCCATCCAATCTAAAGCGTATAAAAATAGAAAAAAAGAAATTGAGGTTTATCTAATTTTAAGTCAGTACCTATAAATGAAAAGAAAAATCTGTTAGTGAAAGTTGCACATTGCATAGTTAAAGGAAGCAAAGAAGATAATATATATATATATATATATATATTCAAATTACTTATTTATATCATCATGTATATATGTATATATGTATGTATGTATGTATGTATGTATGTATATGAACAGAAAAAAAGGAGTTGCAAAAAGTGAGGGAGGAATGGAGTACTGAGGGGCTCTCAGTTCTAAGCAAAGGAAGTCAGAGGCCCAATAAAGGGCTGTGGTCCTATGTAGGAACCCCATTTCAATTAAGAGAGTCTGGAACCATCTAGCTCTGGTCCAAGACAATGTATATCTCTGGGTTGTATTAATCAACAGTGTTTTTTCAAATGTAGCAGACAAGGCCCATTAAATGCACTTTCATGCGGATTCAACTCCAACATTTTATCTTGAATTCAAACTTACTTTCTGCAACTTAAGTGCATCCAATTTCCTAATCATGTCCTCACAATCCTCGTTGAAGACATAAAATTCATTTCAGTGCACAAAAGGAAATAACGAATTAAAATTAAAAAAAAAAGTTTTAACATAGGAGAGAAAGAGTAAAGAAAAAAATGGGTGTGAAAAGAAAAAATTATTTTCTTTCCATATTTTTGTCAGTTTGGTAAGAAAAATTAATTAAAAAAATGTTGCTGGTGAACCATTTCCGATCCAAATATTATTCTATAATGGCAGGCCATGAGTTAATTACGGATAAATTAGGATTATGAAATGTGTCATCATCATTATTGCAATAAACGCTACACTTTTTTTTAATTAATTATTCATCTTCCGCCTTCTATATTATTAGTAAGTAACAAAAATCTGAATTTAGATGTTTATAACGACCCCATTGGCCGGCGACAGAGCCACACAATATTTTTATTCCCTACGTAGACAAAAGCAAGGAAGGATGGACATTATTTCTATGCAGTGACAATATTTGTATTTGTCTCCGAGCCTTTAACTTGGTAGTTAAAAGCGTTTGAAGGTATATTAAAGATTTGATTTCGAATCAAATATTTTTTATTCTCTTACTTGTATTAAAATTTTATCCTTTTGATGTAACCAAAAAAAAAAAAAATTAATATTTGATTTACTCATGTCAAAATTCGTTACTCAAGCCTTGGTTTAGTGGCAATAAGTAAGTTATAAAACCCTAAATTTGCAGGTTTAAATTTGTTTCAATTTTATATTTTAGTTCATTAGATAATTTATTTGTTTAATTATTTAATGATTACAAATATAATATTTGATTATTATTATAATTTGCACATGTAATTTTTAAAAAATAATAATCAAAATTTGTATATATTGGTAAAGTTGTTAAAGCTTACTCAAATTTGAAAAATTAGTCTAATTTATCCGAATTTGATCCAACTAATTTGATAGAAATGTTAATAATTCAAACCCAATCAATCAGAATTCAAAATAACCAAAATTTGAAATAATTTAGATTCAAATAAGCCGAAAGATTGACCTTAAAATAATCCAAACTTAAATTGAATATAGTTTTATTTTTTAAATATCTATTTAATTAAAATAATGAATATAACACGTCTTAAATATTTAGTAACATTAAGCAATCTTTTAAATTTTCTTTGATATATATTTTTATAATTATAAACTTTTAAAAATTATCGTTTTTAATTATAAGTATCTTCTTAGTTATGAGTAAAAAAATTTAAAATAATTTTTTGTATTATTATATTTATATTAAACTTATGCAATTATGCAAAATAAATAAAAAATTTTCAAATTATATATCATAAATAAATTTTTTTATGATGCCAAAAATCAAAAGTGAAAATATTCTATTAGTTCATTAAAATATAACTTTGAATAATTTAATTAGAGTAAATAAAATCTGACTTTATCTAAATAATTCATTAAAAATTCAACATGGTTTGACTTAATAACGGAATGACCCAAATCAAAATCATTTGAGTGTCAAATTTAAATGATCAAAATTTAAAATAGACTCAGAATCTTAAAAAAAAAAAAAAAAAAAAAAAAAAACTCAAATTCAAAATAACCCCAAACCGAAACCATCCGAAAATGATGATCTGACGTGACCGGATCTACTCATTTCAATATATATTCCAAAAGGAATTTCATTAGCAATACATATATATGAAAATTTGTGACTGATTTCCTTAACTCTTTTTTCGTGGTTTTGCAAATTTTACTAATATTTTATAGGTTACCTATATTGGTTCATACATTTTGTTTTTTAATAAAAATAAAAACTAAAGAAAAAAGCATATAAATTTTTTTGGCCAATAACTTGTAATCAATTAGCTAGCATTCAGCGTATCAATTCAACATATTCGATTACACAAAACTGACTAAAACATACAACATGAAATTGACCAAAAATGCCTCCTATATCACCATCGAAATCCATTACCATGCCCCTAATCAAGGAATCAGGGCATCCTATGTCGTTACAAGGTACACAGGGGGCGCCGAGACGACCTTTCACCGTGACTGCTACCCCGATAACTGTCTCCTCTTGCTCCTTCTTCCGCGGCCAACGAGTCTGCTATCGGTTTAATCACCAAAATGCCCTCTCCAACCACTGCGCAAGTGAACGTGCTAAGGAACACAAATAGAGCTACTCCATCGAAACCGGTCTTGTCCGGTGTCCATAACACTGACAACCCCATAAAGAGGATTTGCAATGGCAACGCTATGATGACTGTCAAAGCGAGAGCAAAGATTCGAACCTTGAGGGCCTTGTTGATTACATGAGAGACGACTCGCCAGAATGATAACAAGAATGACAATGAAAAGACAGCTCCAAAAACGCCGAACAAAATGGTGCTTAGCAAAGGGTACGCACACAAAACCGTCTTATGATCATCACTGTTCCAGGAGACGAACCAACTCCTATGAAAAAGTTCTGGGAAACGTCTCTTGGAATCCGGAAAGAACACAAAGTAAACTTGTAAAAGGAAAATGGGAAGACACGAGGCCAAGACAAAGAAAACGCTGAAGAAGCTTCTTGGGGTTGTTTTCTTGACGGAGACATCAAGCAAGAAAAGCAAAGTTACTAGGAAACCAGGCTCGAAGAACCCTAAAGAGAGAACAAGGTGGACTTTGCAAAGGTTGGCTTGTTGTGGCACGGTTAGCTGTGGCAAGAGAGGATAAAAATATCGTCTGCGAAACAAGGGTAGGCGTAGCAGTTCTGTCAATGCCCAGAAGGTGATGAAGAAGACAAAAAGGAATCGGACGGTCCAGAGAGAGTTGAAGTTCTGCAAATGACAGGAGCTTCTGGATTTAAAACGGAGGTGAAATATGAAGCAAATCGAGAAAAGAGAGAGGATGAGGAGGGCAGCAATGAAGGAGATGGTGGCAAAGTCGATGGAGGAGTCAAGGAATGGTAAGGTAGGAATAAAGAACATGGCACACACGTTGGCTATAAAAGATGATGGCTATGGCAGAAATGGTTAAAAATATCTGAACAATGTGGTGGTGGTCGCGGCGGCGGTGAAAGGAGCAAAAGTTGGAAGAAAAGGGAATAATGCAAGGCATAATTGGGTGGTCGGAAGGGGTATGGGGGAGAGAAGAAAGGGTTGGTTTCTCTCCCCTGTTCCCAACCGGCAGGAAAGCAGGCTCGTGCACAGCTAGAAAAGATTTTAGGAGGTTCCCCTTTGGAGAGAGAAAAAAACAGAGAATTAAGGAATTGTGAGAAATTTTTGTGGTGACATGGGATTGCTGCTTTGGTTTCGGGTGTCTTGTGGTTGTGTGTCAGTTTTTAGGAGATGAACAATATTATTTATGGGTTATTTAACCTTTTTTTTTTTTAAATAGAAAGCTGTCTTTGGTTTGGACAATTTTATAGGAATTTTCATGGATACATACGATGGCATTCCATATATATTTTAACGATTGAACCTCTCTCAAAACAGACAAATTTTTTGTACGTTTTTATATGGTTCGTCATTCATTCATAAGGCAGTTGATCTTAGCTGTTCATAGATGTGCCAGAGATGGGATGCATTAAGAAGCTTTTGTTTTTTTGGTACATGAATATTAGAAGCTTTTTAATTCATAGAAAATTCAGCCAACAGTTGAGATTGTTTGAGATCCATGCTGTAGAAATTTCAAAAGAGATTTCTTTCTCTTTTAATTAAAACTTCATTGGGAAAGGAAATTAATATATGGATCGTAGCATGAAGTAAAAAAAATGAGAAGGGAAGAGTCAATTCACCCATATCAGTCAAGTATCTGAAGAGCTTTGTTGGCCGGTGGTGTCATGGCTGACGGTTGGAGCCATGGAGGGGTTGACTTGATTATTTGATGAGCCTTGAAATTTTGACCAATATGATATTTATGTTGGGGTAATTATTAACTTTTAGGATTGAAATAATAGTACTGAAATAAAAAAACACATACTTTTAAGACTAATCTTGTAATTATCCCAAACCAATTATGATCATTGCTTTAATGGATTAGCACTTTTGTATTTCATCGAATGCAAAGTCAGTCAGATGAAAGCTAAAAGCAGCAGTAGATTGAGAGAACGTTGATAGATCTGATGATAATAGAAGGCTTATACGGCAACAATACCAGGCATCAGATTGCCTGAAATTATAGATCACCATTTGTAAGGCAAATATGGGTTGATGTTGAATTTGCGGTAGATTTTGCTGAGGCTTTTTTCTTTCATCACCATCTTCCCTTTGCAAAGCAATATAAAACCTGCATTTGCAGAGAGAGAGAGAGAGATAGATAGATCACTTTCTGTGTTTCACTTTTATAAAGAAAAAGAGATCAGAGAATTCTTCTTTTTACTTTATCTTCGTGCATTGCATTCACCTGCCACCCACTACATCCAATGAATATATATAAAAAAGTAGTATAAATTTTCCTTCTTCAATTAATCAAAGTGGTCCAGAAGGACAGTACTATTGCTCCTTGTAAGAAGAATGCCAACTTCTAAACTCTCAATTCTCATCCTTCGTATCTTTATTCCGTATTTTGTTTCACTCCGAAGCACCTTCATTCAAGATATCACTCTTTTTCTTAGATTTGTTTACATTATTCTTGTATAAACTAAACTAAATACTAATAAAATTGGGAAATTCCTCCTTTTTTAAAAAAAAATTTAATCATCCAATTGTGAAATGATATGAAACATTTCAACACTTAAACGATTCAAAGTTAACCTTTAGTTAGATGACATGACAGTACGTAGCAAACTTTCATGCACTTGCTTTCCTTTGCTTTGCTTTTGGAAATCTATTAAACATGGAATGATGGAAAAGACACAATTTGTAGCTTGGCCATAGTGTGATTTGTGAATTACAGGAAAAATGACAGTACTACAGCTAATGAGATTCTGGATCTCTGGAACATATATAAGCAGTCGCTGACGTTTATGGAGTGCAGATTTAAGAATTCTGATAAAACTACAGTGGGGGGTTTTGATAATTAATGCTCAATCAATCTTCTGCATGAATCACCCCCACTCGGTCGTCATTCATCATCATCAGCAGCTTTGTCATTGCATCATCAATAGCTCTTGGTAAAATTCATAAAAGTGAAAAACACAGTACTCAAAAGTACTTTAAAGGGTTTGCATGTACTACTAGTTTTTCCTTTGTGATGCAAATTGCCCTTAAAGCAACTTATAGGGTCTGAAAAACATCAAAAAGTTACAAAGAAATATCCCAACTCCAGTTTTTACTGATCTTTACTAGTTGTACTTCTATTAAAATTCTCAACGAAAAATAGATAGTCATACCCCCTGTTCGATACGAGTGCTGATCTCTCTCTTTCAATGTGATCTTCATTGATCTCTTGAGTGAAGATCTTTTAAGAAAACATGTTTAAACCGTTGATTGCATGTACAAAAGTTATATTTAACATTAATGGTAATAAAATTAAATGAAAGATTAACCTCTTGAATTGTTCCAAGGAATAATAATCTTTCATGAACAAGAAAAAGGCCATGAAAAGGAGTTTTAAAAGATAGGAACAGAAAGATACCTCTTTTTACCATAAAGAAAGCAACAGCTGAAATGGAATCAATTCTGGCGAATATATATATAGATACACACACACATATATATATATATATATATATATATCCATTTGAAGCTTCAGATCTTAAGTTCGGTTCTTTGTCTTCCACTAAGCCCTCACCTCAAAAAGAAAACAGACATGATATATTAGTGGCAACTTCCAAGACGGCGAGAGAAGATGATACGGCCCTCCTGCAAATCCACCTACTGCCAGTGTAGGAAACCCTTATTTGATATAGTACTATAGCAATCGAAGTACCTCTAGCTAATTATAACTGATGGAAGAAGAACTTAAACCCTAATAAAAAAGCTGTGAAAATTAATATTAAAAAAAGAATTAAGGGTTTGAGACCTTGATTTCATCCCAATAAGACAGGAACTGACAGAAAGACATAATTATATACCTACAAGACATGAAGATCATGTTAAAAATTCCTGATGATGAAAAACAAAAAAACAAAAAAGATTAGTTGGAGAGACTGACAGGATCGCACGCAGTCATTATAATTGGAGTTGAAAGGAAACATACAATAATCGTATAAAATCGGCAATGATGAAAATTAACCATTGTCTGTTCAGGCAGAACAACCCACAGAGTCAAAACTCTTCATCATTACACCAATCTGCTTGTAATTAAACAACCTTGATTTATATGAAATTAACATAAACCCATGTGAATACACACGTGTGGTAAAAAAATAAAAAAATAAAAAAAAAGCTATAACAGCTAAAAGAGCACATAAATGATTACCCATCTGTTAAATCATGGTACTGATGATGAAATCCAAGAAGATCGAGCAGTACTGTACCTTGATTGATGTATAAAAATATAAGTGGAAGCAGTAATTAAGGGGAATGAAGCCTGGTCCAAGAGCACGAATTAAACACAGAAAAAGACTATATCTGTGGATTGAGATGATTTTGAAAACTAATGATCAGTTGAGAGGGTCGAAACCGATGAAAATGGATGGAGAGAGGGCGGTCTTGAACCAGACAACATTCCCCTCAACAAGAAAAGCTTCCCATCAGCAATTTCTTTAGGTATCCGCAAACCCTCATTTCCTTGATCTTTCCTAGCTTCTTCTTTTTCCGTTCTTCTTTCCCTTCAATATAACCATTCTTTTGCGGGTTTTGTGTGATGTTGCATCATGATGATGAACATAATCATTTGATTTTACGAGAGAAAGTAAAAGCGGTCAGAGAGAGAAAACAAAGCATGGGGTCCCAAGGTCCTGGTCATTTCTGGAACCCAGCTGTTGGTTTCGTTCGGTTCAGCTCTTTCTTTCTTCGTTTTAGACACGCTTAAAATTGGCCAAAAAAAATGAAAAACACGCTTAAAAATATTTCTCTAAATATATACGCTCTAATTAACTATAAATATGTACATCTACTTTGTGGGTAGAAGAAAAAAAATTAAATATGTGAATAAATATTTTGATAGAGAAAAAATTAGTAGTTTTTTTTAAAGAGAATTTCATATTTTAAAAAATACTTTTTAAATATATTATAAAAAAATTAAAAGATATGGGTACTCATTTTATTATTTGATATTATAATTTTATTTGATTTTTTTAATATTTTTCTTAGCTGTATGGTATTACTTAATTCATGAGACAAAATTCAGTGAAAACGCTTTATAAATAATTAGAAACCTACTATATGGGTGTTTTGAAAAAAAAAAAAGTTTTTAAGAGAAGTTATGTGAATAAAAATAGGTGTATTTTAAGAGATTGATAGTTTTTAATATATTTTTATTGAAAAAATAAAAAAATAATACTTCAAATTTAATTCTATGTTAATTTTTAAATAAATTATTTAACTGCACCGATGCATTAGTACTAAATTCCATAAATATAGATATAGTTATAAGCACAGAATCTTGTGCCCTTTGGATCTTGATCATCATTATCTTCATAGATATTGGTCATCATTATCTTCTTATTTTGTGTATGTTAAAAGTGATGAGAGTGTGATTATTAAGTGAGAGAGGGCTCATGTTTCAGTGAAGTTTAAGCACTACTAGTCTCCCTCCTTGTGAATAATTTTAAAGATAAATATATTATATTTATTAGGGTAAATATTATAAATGATTCTTAAATTATATTAAATTGTTAAATACGATATCTGAATTAAAAATTTTTTTATATGATATTTGAATTTTGAATATGATATTTAAATTATAATTTATTAATTAATATGATATTTATTTTTAATATAATTAATTTCAAATAATGATACACATGAAAAATAAATAACACTTTAAATATTATATTAATTAATAAATTTATAATTTAAATATTAAATTTAAAAATTTAAAAATTATATTAAATATTTTACTATAATTTAAAAAGATAAATTTGTTGTAAAATCTTTGTAGAGGCCGATTTATTTAATAAATGTTTAAGTCTAACATCTGGCAAGCCCACTACAATATACTTCTGATTGTGAAAATTGGTAAATGGGCCTTATAATTAGTAGGTAGGTTTACAAGATTTCATACATCTACTTTCTAGATTTATGATCCAACCCAAATCTGCAAAAATAAGCAAAAACAAAAGAAGCATTGATTAAAATGTTTTTTCAGTTGTTACAATGTTTTTATTCAAGACCGAAGAGTAATTGGCCAAAAAAAAAAGGACCGAAGATACATAATTGTTCATTTGGTTTTGCATTTTTTTTTTCACTTTTCACTGAAAACAATTACAGTGAATATCATTGCGAACGAATTAAAAACTTGAATTGTTGAATTTGATCATTTTGTTGAGGACGAATGAGTTAACCAGTGACTAAGGATGGAATTGAAAAAAAGCCCCCAAGATTGATGAGTCACAACTTACAAACTTCAAATTTAAGATCAAAAAATGATGAGTCACGAGAGAGAGAGAGAGAAACTCGGACGGACAGACAAGGGTCCTACCAAACTGAACTCAGTCTGAAATTCAGTGCTCGTAACTTTAATTTGTCATCATTGTCGGCTGCCGCTTCGGCAGTTTGCACCAATCGTCTAACAACGCGTACCTTATGCCAGGTTTTAACCATGGCTAAAACCCACAGCCCAAAGGCAGATACGATAAGGTTTGACACGTTACAACAAAATGAGATATCCAAGCTTTGCCAAAACGTAAAGAATGGGAATTATGGCCGTTCAACGACAAAGCAAAGCGTCGTTGTCAACGGCGCTGGGTGTATGGCGTCCCTTGGCACTGAGATGCAGTCTTTAGTGATAAAGCTGCTCAGCTGCCAAGACTTGGGACAGCTAACTTAATTAGTCCTACCATGCTTTAATTTAATACAACAAAACAAAAAGAATCCTAATCCCGCCTTCTAATTATTATAGTAAACCTTCGTAATTATTAATGGATTTTGGGCATTAAGGAAGTCTTCTTCGTTTTGCTGAAGTCAAATTGTCTAATTCGTTTTTATGCTCGCATTTTGACAAGAATATACGGGTGAATTGCGCAATTTGATCTGAAGGATTAACTCTAATCAAATGGGGTCCAGAGAGGAGGATAAAGAAAAAACAGTGTGAACATTTTCATGCCTTTAACAAATTCCAGGTAGCCCACCTCTATACAATAATCATCCATCCATCTACTGTCAAGTAGGACATAAAAGAATCAACACACTCATTAATAGATTGAAATCAAGTTGTTTCAATAATATATATGAACTCGTTTAATAAGGATATGAAAAGTTGCCTTCCACAATTCATGGGAAAATGTGATCATAAAAACTCATTGAGGGGTCACATGACCATTTGTATGCAACAAGTATTTGTTTTTAAGTATTTGAGCTTATTGGGAAGAAGAAAGGAGAGAAACAATGGGTGGTTAAAAGGGTAGGATTATCGATGATCGGAAGCTCCTGGAGGGTAGGACACATATTACTTATAACTTACCTAAAGATGACACTTCAGCAGCCCATGAACCGTCCACATTCCACCTCTGTAGAGTCATGTAAAACAAGGAAAATATAGGGACACACAGTTGACGAGTATTGGACTATGTGTTAAATTCGATGGGCTTAGGCTTACCTTCGAAAGCGACACACCGCAAATATCACAGTTGACAGCTAGAAACCAAATTGATTATTCCAGGATGGCTGTAAATATAAAAGCAATTTGCTTTCTTCTGTGATTTAACATTTGACAATAATCAAACATCTCTTTTGTCCATATTAGGCGAACGCAACTACTTGATCCTCATCTTGTTCTCAATGATCAGTTTTGATGGCACAGCTCAACCATGAAATTAACATCAAACTATTTTCTCACTCTGATCATAATCAAAACATTTTTCTTGGTATTTAGAAGCCTAAATGTAGAGTGAGATGGCGAAAGCTTATTGATATAGCTACGGAGTTAATGTTTAATCACCTTGGAAATTCTCATGGCAGATGTTCTAAAATCTGTTGAATATCTCTATCTATAAAGCAAAGCTCAAACACATGTCTTTATCTTCGTCATGCAAGTGACATTGACATTAGATCCGATCATGAATTAATTAAGACCTTCCACCAGGAAAAGAAATGTAGTCATTCCTTTTGGAAAAATGATCTCCTGGAAGACGCCAACTGAAGCGACGTAGAAGCTGTTCGTTCAAGTTTATATGTACCGAACTTTTTTTAGTCAAATATATATATCGAATTAAATTTATTTTTGAGTAAATTTTTTTCATATTTAACCAGGTCATGGATTCGTTAATTATAACATGCATGTACAGGGTGAATGTGGGTTTAGTTCAAATGGACCACCCGCCACTCGTAGGAGATATTATTCATCAGCATATGGTCAAATAATTACGTGTTTTTCTGCAACACTAATGGATCGAGATATTTTACTCATCAGTTAGGCATGGAGACTGGAGTCACTGCTGTCTCATGCTTTTAAGGCAGTCTCTATAATTTAAGCAGAGGTAGAAATAGGATCAGGATTTTTAGGACTTTACTGAGCACCAAAAAAAAAAAAAAATCAAAATCATGCAGGTGGCAGTGACTTTGACTCTTCATTTCCTCTGGCCAATAGTTCTGTCAGCCATAACTGTACGTAGGAGCAATCAACGTCTCAAAGATTACGGACAAAACAAGCGTATAATATTCTTGCTTCAACCGATTAATCGTCAAATTGAATGTAAAAAATGATTTAGAATATTAAAGAATGCATGAACATCTGAAAGTAGACTAATATCTATCTATGTACCTTCAATGCTCTGACAAATATAACGACCCCCGATCCCTTGGGCACTTCGAGTCCTTTGAGCTGGACAAGTATTACAGCAAAATCCAATAGTATTATACCACACAGCTCCAAATAGAAAGCAAACAGAGAAAAGGTCAAGATTTCTGAATAATTTGGAATTCCCCGGAGACTTAACCGGCAACAAAGTGATCTTTGGATTAGGTGAACAAAGTCAACAAGTAAATCACGCATAATTAGTTGGTTTTCACCCCGTGGAGCTGTTGAATCCTGTCCCAAATCTCTTCGCCAAGCATGCATGATCGACCTCCCAATGTTAAATATTGCATTCTACTTAACTATAGAAATGCTTGGTCCTTTGGTGCTGTTAAATTTCTATTTTATCAGTGAAAATATCAAATGAAAATCTTCTCCTCCACATGCATGTTTCCTCATTTATTGTATCAACTTTCCGCTGGCATCCAAATGTTTACATATAGCAAATGAATGAATCGACCATTGCGATCCCATGAGATACGCATACTTCGGTTAGATATTTTTTTGGCAGTTTAGGTTGCTTGGAATCTTGCTTACTAAATTAAGTATCCAATACTTTATCAACAGTCTACACAGCTGTTGGCTACTTTGGCTAAATATTTTAAAAGCAAGAATGGTGAAATAAGAGACGTTTTAGAATTTTTCCTCTTCTAGATTAAGATAAGCAGATTTTAATTTGAATGTTTGCATGAATGACAAGTAAAAAAGTTTCCATCCGATTTCTAATTTTATTCATGCAATAGTGCCAGGGCCAGGGAAGCAATCACACAAGATGTGGATTATAGTTTATAAATGGAAGAGAATGAAGACAGATACCCACATTCCACAAGACATAGGAAAGAGAATGTCATACGATAGCTGGCCTTATTGGTTAGCAGAATTCATAAATCGAAAGTCTCAATCGCTTGAAAGCAACCGTATGTAGTACTTGAAACCATGGCCAACTATATATCTCCAAGACCCCTTCCTTGGTAGAATTCTAAGTCCAAACACATTTACCTTGGGAGGAGATTAAAAAAAAGAGTTACAAAATCTCTCTGTAATTACAGATAGAGTGTTAACTGGGAGTTATAATTAAAACCTTGAAAATCCAATAATGGAGAGAGAATACTATCCAGCAGCACATGAAGCAATAGCAGATCAGGTACCTCAAACTCCAAGGAAGAAGAAGAAGAATAAGATGAAGACCAAGAGGAGGTTTAGCGATGAACAAATCAGGTTACTGGAGTCTATATTCGAGTCAGAGACAAAACTGGAACCAAGAAAGAAGTTGCAACTGGCAAGAGATCTTGGGCTTCAGCCTCGCCAAATAGCTATATGGTTTCAAAACAGAAGAGCCAGAGGGAAGTCAAAACAGATAGAGCAAGATTACAGAACACTCAAAGCTAATTACGACAGCTTAGCATCAAGATTTGAGTCCTTGATGAAAGAGAAACAGTCCTTGATTTTACAGGTACTTCATGTTCTACTTCATACTCTATCACAATGTTCTAGTGTGAGTTTATTTAAGAGAATTACTTCCTTACAAGGCCGTAAAACTTTTGTGTTCATTCTCAGGTGCAGAAGCTAAGTGAACTGCTGGAAGAACCTCACGACATAAATAAGGTCAGCAAGCCCGGACCTGATGGAAATAGAACGGATGGTGGTTCAGAATATGGAGATACCAAGTGCGAGCGTGAAGCTGAAGCGCAGCCAAGTTTCCAACAGGCAGGAGTGGAAGACATGGGATTTTTTGGCTTACAAATTGAGAAGGACAAAGATATTGAGCATGCAGGGCAGCCACTAGAAGAATTCCCGAGCATGAATGACTCCCTAGCATCACCTGAAAAACTGTATGGATTTGATTCGGCTGACATGTTTGATCATTCATGTAGCAATTCCGTGTGGTTCAACTTTTGGACTTGAGGAGTGGACTACACCGATAACAAAATGTTTCCGTGTCTGTTTGAATGTTAGTTGTCTTGTTCCATTACAGTCGGCGAGAATCAGGAAAGTGAAGTGGGGGCTTCCTTACTGCCACTAACATCAATCAAGCAACTAAAGCAAAATGCCTGGAAGGCATAGAAAGTAACCACCGACAATTGTTGCCAAGATCTTCAGATCACTAGCAAGAGTTGGCCATCTATAAGTCTCAGTCTATGACTTGTGTCCATGAATTTGCTAGAACTTGAGCTTAGTAAAGAGTGCAACGGGATGCTAGGGGTTGTAAACCACAGATTTCTCCAATATCTTTTTTCTTTTTTGATTATGGTAATAGATCAACATATGATACATCAAATATAGCTATGAGATTGCTCCAGATATACTTGGTGCTCTTTTTGAAACAATTCTTAATTTACACTTCATTAGTCAGTAGTCACCCATTTCCAAAGAGCACCTAAAATCCCATCTATCTGCAATCGGATTTGTTAATAGAAGAGGAGAGACCAAACCCCTTTCCCTATAAAACTACTGCTTCAGAATTGTAATCATCTTAGTTTCATTTTGCTTTTATTCCCAGTATTATGCTCAAATCCCCTAACATGTTTCAAATGATCACACCATACTTCAATTATAGTCTCACTGATCTCGGTTTTAATATCGCTACCTCCATTTTCTTTTAGAAAAATATTCTATCTTTTAACTCTTTCTATCTCTATCTACTTATCTGAGTAAAATATTACGCGCTTAAATATTACCGAACTCACAACCTCCAAAAATTTTGTTCAATATGCATTGACACCCGAAAAAAGCCTTACACTTCTTTTTTCAGCCTTTTAGGCTTTCAAAATTTGAAGAAGTTACTAGTTGGGTAAAAAACAAGTACTTACTTGAAAAGCATCCATGGGAAATCAATTCCGAGAAAATGTGTTCTACTATTCTAGTCTCTAGATTCTAGAAACAGAGAACGTCGTTATTTGTTAGGCCGGAGATAACGCCAACCAATCTAATAGAAGATTATTTAAAAAGACATCACGACAGTTTGGCCGAGTGGTCTAAGGCGCCAGATTTAGGCTCTGGTCCGAAAGGGCGTGGGTTCAAATCCCACAGCTGTCATTATTGTTATCTTTCTTCATTCCCACTAGTAAAGTAGCAGTGGAGCCAGTGACTTTTTTCTGTGACGATGCGTTATCTTTTCCAAGTTTCAATTTCAGCCACAGAAGGCATGACTATAACTAACTGTAGTAAATAGCACTCTAGCAGGTAGTGCCACTTTCTCGGCTGCTGGAATTTGTGGGAACGTGGCGATGGCTTTCTCAAACTTAACTCCAACAGCTTGCATCACTTGTCTCAATGCTTCCAATCAATTCTGTCTCCCATCATCTTCACCTTTCAAGTCTCTCAAGTTCCCTCTCTTCTGGCCCTGGGAAAAAGTAATTTATCTTAACTGTACCTCTACACGTGCATGTTATCAATTCTGGTTTGATATATTCTCTAGATGTGTGTTTTCAGTGGTTGCTTTTACTGGGCAGGTGAAAACGGGTCCTTTGACTGTGTCTCCTATGGGGTTTGGGACGTGGGCATGGGGCAACCAGCTTCTCTGGGGTTACCAGCAATCAATGGATTCCCAACTTCAACAAGTTTTCAATCTTGCCGTGGAGAATGGAATCAATCTTTTCGATACCGCGGATTCTTATGGGACGGGAAGACTCAATGGACAGAGTGAAAAGCTTCTGGGAAAGTTCATTAGAGAATTTCGAGGTTGTCTAATTTCTCAATCTAAATTTAAAACTAAGATAAAGTGAAGATTGTTTTTCATTTCTGACACAATTGACCTTTATATGTGGATGTTTCAAATCACAGTGGCTGATAAATCCAGGACTCTTCTTTCATCATCCCAATATTACAATAGAGATTGTTCATTGCATACCATTTTTGTAATCTCAGGGAAAAAGCGGATAAAAGATGAGATTGTGATTGCTACAAAGTTTGCAGCATATCCCTGGCGTCTAACAGCAGGGCAATTTGTTGAAGCTTGCAGGTTTGCTATTCTATTGCTTCTATATAAGTGATTCTCTTCATCTTACAATTGACTGAAATGTTGTAATGATGAGTAAATTTGATGAAGAGCTGTTTTCCAGGGCCTCTCGGGACCGAATGCAGATTGAGCAAATTGGAATAGGACAGTTACATTGGTCTACTGCAAACTACGCTCCCCCACAAGAGTTCGCTCTTTGGGGTGGTTTAGTGGCAATATATGAGAAGGTTATCATGAATTACGTTTTAAATGGTTATTATATTGTTGTTATTAGAAACTGAGATTAATCCTTTTCCATTGGCATGTGAAAGTTTTGTTCTAGATTTAACTTGAAGCACAAAATGTTGAGAGACCTCCGTTCCAGAAAACAGTTTTTCTGCATCATAGCAAGTTTGTTTCTATAGTTTAGATGATATGTTTTCTTTTTACCGGCCAAAATCTACCTGATAAATATTTGCAGGGCTTAGTTAAAGCTGTTGGAGTTAGCAATTATGGACCCAAACAGCTCGTAAAGATTTATGATTACCTTAAAGCCAGAGGAGTCCCACTAAGTTCGGCTCAGGTATAGATAATTCAGACATTTTTCTCCTTTTCATGTTTGGAGGAATTTTAGTGTGGTTATACTTGCTTGTGTTTCAAGTAGGGAAACTAAGAATCGCTGCATGAAATCATTGTGTCTACCCCTTAGACATGCTTGTCTTTCGTGTTCAGTTACCTTCAAAGTTAAACCAAGTGCCCCCGTGGTTATCCTTGCTTTAGTTTTTGTGCTTGTTTTCCTGTGTTTCCTCAAATTCATACCACTACACATTTTTTGGCCTACCTTTACGGCCATTAGCTGGTTTTGTGACTTTTTTTTTTCTACTCCAACCCTATCTGGCTATCTCCCTTGATGGCAATGGCTTCTAATGGATGCATATGCTGAACTACCTAAAGTCTCCTGTTTAAGGGTATTTCAATTTTGAAGATGGCCACTTTCAAATACCTGCATAGAGAGTGTCTGGGCTCATTCTTCTTCCCTTCACCCAAATCCCAACTCCAAGGAAATTGAATGGCAAAGAAAAATGTTAACAGGGGTTTAAGTGTTTTGGTGAAAAACATGATTTAAGCTCACTGTTTTATTCCTTTTCATTCAAAAATGAGTAGAAACAGTCAATAAATTAGTATAAATATGTCGGGAACTATTTGCAAATAGCATTTTCCTGCTTAATCGAGGACATGACCTTTATGTATAACTGAGCTTATCATGGATGTCAACAAATTTTCTGCATGGATCATATTGTGGTTTGTGTGCAAGAAGACAGCACTAATGCTCAGTCTCTAACTTTAGTTCTGTACTCCGAAGACCCCGCACAGTCCAATCTCTTGAGCTAAGCCTCAATGGCTGGCTATCTAACTAAAATACAATACTTAAATGAATCCCATGCCTGAACATATAGCAACTAAGGCTTCAACAACACTTTAAGAACTCCTTTTGGTCATTCTTGTGATTCTAAGGCTTACTTCCAGAATGACCCTAATTTCAGGTACAATTTTCTCTGATAAGCATGGGAGAAGATCAGATGGAGATTAAAAATATTTGTGACTCTCTTGGTATCCGCTTGATTTCTTATAGTCCTCTAGGACTTGGAATGCTTACTGGGAAATATACGCCTTCCAGACTTCCACGTGGGCCAAGGTAATAGAAATGCTGGTGTTTATTACTTTCAGGGATATGGTAGAGATTTAAAGGATCCTCCCGGTCCAAAGGTGAGTGCTAATTTGACGATAAGCTTTTTTGTCTCGCAACAGGGGCCTGCTGTTTAAGCAAATTCTTCCAGGACTGGAACCCTTGCTGGTTTCGTTGAGAGAAATCGCGGAAAAACGGAGCAAAACCATACCTCAGGTACTTCTGATGTAAACTTTGCTTGGCAACTGTTTCACTTGTATGTTTAGCTCCATCCTCCTAAAATTAAGCCGTCTATTAGAACTAAGTCCTTATGAACAAGAACTGAAATCTGTAATTAGATCTTTGGCCTTGTCCTTTTAAGTATCTCTTTAGAGCATCAAACTTTCTCCAACTCTCTGTATTTTTACTTCTAGGCCTAGCCTCATTCTTGAACCAAATATATATATATATATATATATATATATATATATATACTGGCATTGAGTTCATGGGAACATTCAAACTCTCCTTGGAAGGCCTAGTTTTGCGTCCGTGTTCAAATGTAGTGGATCACTGGATTATGATATATTCAGTAATGTTATTTGAGGAAGATGAAGTTCTCTTAACTCCTATAAAGCAAGAGAAATAGGGAAATCTTCCCTCAATTTGATAAGCAGATCTTACCAAATGCATTAGTAACTGAAATATAAGCCAGGGTATGCCTGGAATATATTTACCTTTTATTGGTTAAAGACCTAAATAAAATGTCATTTGCAGGTTGCAATAAACTGGTGCCTCTGTAAAGGTACCATTCCAATACCTGGAGTTAAAACAGTGAAACAAGCAGAGGAAAATCTGGGTGCTCTCGGTTGGCACCTAAGTTCAAATGAGTTGCTTCAGTTAGATTATGCAGCTCAGGAGTCGCCACGGAGGATGATCCAAAACATTTTCCAGACAAAGTAAACAGTCTAGAAATACAGCGACCAAATGAATACCATGGAGTAAGATATTGCTAATACTCGAGTGTCTGAATTCTCACCCGATTATCAGATGAAATTTTGACAAATTGCAAAAGCACCCTTGATGAGACGGAACAATTATGGGGCACAAACCAAAGAAATTGGGGGTTTGTGGGAACGAAATACATCAAATAAGAGAGCCAGCGTTGCATTCACATCCTACTTCAGCTTGACTGATAAATAAGAGGAGGAAATGCATATGGAGCCATATTTGTGGACAATTTTAAGGCCGAAATGCAGGAAATGCATGTACCACCGTACAAGTAAAAATAGTTGTCTATGAAGCACAACAGCCTTCCTAGAGTTGCTAACGTCGTTCTTCAGCAAATTTTTCCGAAGTGGGAAAAAATAAAAGGAAAAATTTTCTTTCCAGTTTTTCAGCCTGTGCTAGTATTAAATTCTCCATAACACGAAAATTATAGGCAGAATGCCCACAAGTGGAATACAGTCATTAAACATAAAGAAAACACGCTATCATCATATCAAAAAGGAAGAAATCATTGTCAAGGACAAACAGAAGCACATATACCACAATTGTTTTAAAATTATAGCTAACTTTAAGATAGTCAAGATGACCGATATAACAATTATACTGTCCAAACAAAATATAGAAACCTAATAATAAAAGTAGAATTCCTCCCTCATGATGTGCAATCTACTTGATCTTCTTCTTTGGCCTCAACTGTCAAGGCAAGGAAATAATAAGTGTCAATTAGGTGCAATGAGAAAACAAATAGCGGATGAGGTTTACGGGATAAAATCTTATAAACTAATGGGTCACACATATTTAACAAAATAATAGGATCAGATAGATGATTTACCTGATTGCTGTGTCCACACTTCTTTTTCCTGCAATTAACGGCACGGGGGTGCAGACGAGCATAACACCTACAGCAAAGACGTCAACAGTATGATTTTTAGTATGGGAATAGAGAATAGAAAGATTTCAGTACTAAATGCAAGCCCATTTTACGAAGGAAAAGAAAAAGAACGCAATTTCATGAACAGCAATATGGCATGCTTCGGGAATCAAAAAATTTTGGATACTTCCAAAGAAAAGGGGAATAAAATGCTTATTTCAAGAATGAGCTGGATGCAGATAGCCATACAGAAAAAGGGAGGATCTAACTAGATGCATATGCAAGATACATGATGGTGCTCAAAAGAACGTGACAAACTAATATTATTAAACAAGCAATCATACTGACAATAAGAAAGTGCAGACATACTTGCGGCAGATCATCTTGTCCTGATTATATTTCCTAGCCAATGCCATCAAAGAAGGCTCAATGATGCCACCACGAAGCCTCAGAACCAGATGCAAGGTTGATTCTGCTTGATTCCACACAAACATTCAAATCAAACTAAAATAAATGTCAGATAAAAAAGATCAGTTCAGGCTTTCAATTCAAAATCCCAGTCCTTACCCTAATTTTAGTACTTAAAAGAAAAAATTCGGGATAACATGAATACAGTTTTCTTCTCATCATAGAGATACCATAAGATTATCTGAGTATTGTTCAATAAAGTTAATGAAGCAATACAAGAGCTAACTGAACTACTTAAAATGATTCCTATAAATTTCCATTCAGCTACTTCTATCATGTTCCCAATACGAAAACATTAGTTTTAACATGCTCGTGGCTTTGATTCACAGTTCAATACAGAACAAAATAAATTAAAATACTTTCAATATCTTTTGTCCAAATTTATGGCAAATTTTCTAAAGAATCAAACAGGGCCTATGAACACCAATATTTACCTTTCTGAATATTGTAGTCAGCCAGAGTACGGCCATCCTCAAGCTGCTTTCCGGCGAATATCAATCTCTGCTGGTCCGGTGGTATACCTGATAACATTCACACCAGATAATCTAAGCCGTTAAATCCTCACGATGAACAAATATAATCACCAATTGATTTCATTCCTAAAACAGGTAGGAGGGATACGGAAGAAAAAAAAATGGGTAAGGAAAACCAAGGCAATACCTTCCTTGTCCTGGATCTTGGCCTTAACATTGTCGATAGTGTCACTGGATTCGACCTCTAGGGTTATGGTCTTCCCTGTTAGGGTTTTCACGAAGATCTGCATTTTCCTAAACCTTACTCCGCTTCGATACCCAACAATCTAACAAATATATTGATTCCCAAATCTAGGGTTTTGAGTGTCTTCCTTTTCAGGGTTGGATTTTGGGCTTTTAATTGTGGTACAACCCAAAATCACCTTTCACAGCCCAATTAATGTTCCACAAACCTAGATTTAGAAGCCTTTTAAAGATCCAAGACCAATTTCAACCTAACAAGTGGACAATTTGTTACCATTTCTTTTTTTGTTTTTTAATAATTGAGGTTAATATTATTTAAATTAGAGAGAAGATCGGCGCGACGCCGTAAGTTTATTTTAGTCATGTTAATAAAATTGCTAGTTATTGAAATAAAAACTAATAATAAAAATAATTGTCTCAATTTAAAGTTAAAGTTTCAAGTTATTTCATAAGTTTGACATTAGAATGATAAAAAAAAAAGTAAAAATTATAGCAATAAAATACAAATACTTACAATTTTTTGAGTAGATACACAAGAAATTTTAAATAGTGACGATACTATAGATGTCCCAAAAAAAAAAAAAAGCTCTCTCTGGATCCATGCCAAATCTATTATTGCAAATTTAAAGTAAAGCAACTAAAGCTGCTAGTACTTATGTCACGGGTCGAGACTTAAGCTCCGAATCCGCGCGGCTCCAGGATCCGGGCATTCACCCTTCCGGCGTCCCAGATCAGCCTTCCATCACGGTTCACACCCTTATGAGGTATTGTCCATTCTGGCCCCATTGGCCTCACGGTTTTATCCTACAAAAGGCGCCTCACAAGGCGGAGATGGTGTGAACCCTTTTATACCCCAATAACCTTCTTATTATGTTCGATGTGGGATTCAGGACTCTTCCTTAGGTCCGTGACATTCTCCCGCACCCAACCTCGTGACGCCCTCGTCACGGAGGCTGACCACCCTGCCTACCTCCCTCGAGGTGCTTGGCGTGGATCGAACGGTTTAGGGCTGGCTCTGATACCACTTGTCACGGGTCGAGACTTAAGCTCCGAACCCGCGTGGCTTCGGAACCCGGGCATTCACCCTTCCGGCGTCCCAGATCAGCCTTCCATCACGGTTCACACCCTTGTGAGGTATTGTCCGCTCTAGCCCCCTTGGCCTCACGGTTTTATCTTACAAAAGGTGCCTCACAAGGCGGAGATGGTGTGAACCCTTTTATACCCCAGTGACCTTCCTATTATGTTCGATGTGGGATTCAGGACTCTTCCTTAGGTCCGTGACACTTGTACTACCAAGAAATACATTACAGATAGAAAGCTCCAAGACTGATCTTTGCAACATCATCCCATTTTAATGTGCATATTATAGACAAAGGAAAACAAAAAGCATGTTTCATGCATTAGATTTTGCCTTAGCAAACTGATTAGCTTTGCCCATTGAGCATCAGAAATGCTTCACTATTCTCCTTTCACAACCCAAACAATGTAAAATATGGCATGTGATAGAATATTTAGGAAGGAAAAGATAAGGGTATACCACGATTACAGAGATTACCTCTGGAACCGAAAACCTATCACACAATAAAAATACTTACTAAGAAATTCTAGTCTTGGAGAATAAAAGTGATGCTCAATCAAAAGGGGAATAAGCCTTAACCAGAACAAATAAAATAAAACTCCATTGCTTATGCTAAAAATCCTTTCAAACAAGTATCTCCGCTCTTTTGTTTGTCATTTATAGCATAAATCAAAATGCACCTAAAAACTAATCAAATGGTTAAAGGAATCTAATCAAGAGTATGACTCGTTATTTCTTTCATATGAACTATTCCAACTATTGACATTATTGAAATGAAAAAGTCCAAATGAATAAAGAATGTATGGCATAAAGAAAGACATGTTGAGCTAATTGGCAATTGCCATGCTAACCGTGGTTGCTTTTAAAATTTTAAAGAACATAGTTACTTCTAGAAATGAATTCCTAATCCAAATCCCAATACAAATAACACTAACAACTGAGGTTTGTTTTTTTCGCCTCTCACATTAAGCAGAACCTTCCTTTCCCACAAACAATAAGACTTAAATAATCTCAAAAAATGAAGAAAGAAACTTTTGTGAAACGCTCTCTACAAGAAAAAAAATGTCATGATTAACAATAGAATATAGAAATAAAGTAGTGTAGATGGTTTACCCATTTTTAGAGCTGTATATTGAATGAAGAGAAAGGCTAACAGATCAACCAAAGATACCAAACACCAATTTAGCCAAAAAGTTACCAAAAAAAAAAAAAAAGAACATGGTAACCTTTTTTTTTTCTTTTATTTAGTGCTTAACATTTGCTTGGATTTCTCTTAACTAGCCTTTCAAACAAAATGTGTAAGGCATTCATACAAATATTTCTCTTTTCTACTGTCACCTTATTAAAAGAAGACATTTCTAAAAACATGTTGCTTCTCTCATTATCTTGAATTGGTAATATTTTGATAAAAAATTAAACCCACATTAAATTTTTTTGATAAAAAAAATATCAAATGAAAAAAATTATTATGAAATTGAAGTGGTGAAAGAATAAACCTGTCAAGAAGCAGAGGCAATGCAAATCCACCGAGAAACTTCCCCATAATAACCTATCTTTTTAATCATGAACATCATCACTGAACTTGCACCATAATTGAAATCTAGAACTCATCAGTACAATATTGCATCTTTGACACCCAATTAGAGCCAAACCAAATAATATACAACCAAAAATAAAACCATCCATCAGAAAAGCTTCATTAATCAGTTCTTCATGATTTTACCATCAGCGACTATTAATGAGCATTGAAAAGACTTCATGGTTGGCTTTAATATAAAATATTATGACATATTATCAATATATTAGGACGGAAGGCTTCCCAAAGCTGTGAGGAAATTCCCATAGCAAGATCAATTGTCTCTGACCTCTTTCTGAATAATGATTGTTTATCTGCAAGCTTTCTGTAAACCACAAAACAAAAAATGACCATCAAACCAACAACCCAAAAAATTCCTAAACAAAACAAAGTTTAAGATATAATATCATCTAAAGTAAATAAATATGACCTGTCGTAAAACTCCGACACGTATATAAAGATTGATTGATAAATTCAAATGAAATTCAAAAATCAAAATATCGTAATACTCTTAAAATAAGTATCCCAACAAAATGATCAAAGTTATCCTCATGAATGAACTTTTCATCTCGAAAAGCCCCAAAAAACTACGAATAAAGTATTTTATTATAAGAAGAAAATAAATTACAAAATACTACAAATGTAATGCCTAAACACTGATAAATAGTAATAAATAAAAATTTCAAACAATTACAAATGACGTGATTGATTAAAATCATCCAAATTAAAATCGATGAAACAAAATTTTATGACTTACCAACTAACTTGATATCAAAACCTTTTAAAAATAACAAATAGTAAAATCTAGCCTAAAACCTTACAAAACAAAACGAAAACAAATTATACAAAACTTAATGAAAATACATAACACAGATAGACCATTTTTAACAATTAAACTCAAGCGCTTATTTATTAATTACAACAACATCAACATTATTTCAATTCTGATATTTATCATTCTAACTATCAAAAGAGTTTATAACTTTGTTTTGCATCAATTTATCACTTAAAAGTAAAAATCAAATCAAATAAAGGATAAAGACAATATCAACAGGTTAATACAACGAAGACAAAGCTAGAATTTTATTAACTTTTAAACCTATTTAATCTTTTAATTTGCATTTATATGTTATAAACTGGCAAAAACAAAAGCATAAACTAGCAAAACATATAAAAATTAATTCTGTCACATTTATTTCAGTCCAAAGTTTTCTTACATGTTCAAAGCACATAATTATGTCATAAAAAAATTATTCATTTCCTACTCTTGTACAAAACTAATCCTCAAGAAACTTTTTTTTTTGTTTTTTTAGATTTCTCATAGCTTCGATAGAGTTATAAATACAAATATATGCAAGCAAAATGGAGGGTGATATCAACAATTTCATCAAGGTATGGTTAACTATTTGGCATTTGATCTATGCTACTACCACATCATTAGCACAATGGTTCCTAAGGTACCCAAAAGACTCATTTCCCTACTCCCAAAATGTACCTCTGACTGCACATATTTCTTTCACACTTTTTGTGGCTGTTGTTTACTTACCCATCAAGATTGAACAACATCAACCTCTAAAATCACATTAAAATTGATCATAATAATAATAAAAAAAAAACCATCATCAAAATGGTCATAATAAAGAAAATTCATTTTTTAAAAAATTCAAAATTCATGTAAACTATATTGTCACTGATCTACTTTTGGCCATTATAGTAAGGATCTATAACTATGTTGAATATATGTAATTTTGCACCCAAATAAGATTAAAAGAAAGAATGATCAAACCTTTAATTCAAAGAATGATCAAACCTTTAATTCAATGTTCACTCCAACAATTCCAAAATGACTTCAAGATCAACAGATTTCTTCAAATCACAAAAAACATGAATAAAATCAAAACAAAATTGTAATTACAAACTCAAATACCAAATACATGGTATCATACAAAAAGCCCAAAACTCACAAAACAACATGCATGAACAAAAAATAATCAAATATAAGCTATTGAAACATCAACAACCACAACAATATCAATTCAAAATTCACAAAATAACATGCATGAAAAAAAAAATCAAACATAAGACTAATAGTTTCCATTAATAATATACAACCCACAATTACTAACCCAAATAAAAAAAAATCCAACTTAACAAAAAAAATCATGCACAAAAAAAAAAATCCTAACACAAAACTCATATCCAGAAAATCACATGACCACATAAAAAAAACAATATGCATAATGCAAGAGAAACAGAAACAAATAATTGCACTACATGCATGCATAAAAACAACAACATTAAAAAACCAACAGAAACAAATTGACAACAAACGAATCACACATAAAAAATAGCAAAAAAACAAAGAAATCAAACATGAGAAAAATAGAAAAAACTCACATGAACAAAGAAAACTACAAAAAAAAAAAGAGAAAAATAGTTTGAGCTAAGAAGAAAAGAAGAAACT